CTTCCCCAAGTGATGAAGGTAACTTACAAATTTGGAAAGGCAACCTAAAAAGTTTCGAGAAAATTTTAAGGAAAAATTTTTATGATATCTTTATAAACTATATAGTCCACTGAGAAATTATGAGCAAATGATAGAGATTGATTGATACACCACTGTAAATAATTTTTAATTGCTCTTTAATGTATTAAGTCACAGTAGCCACATTATCAAATATATATAATGAACATTGCAATGCCTTCATTCACGAATGCACCTTGATTCATAGGAAAAATATTTGTTTCATAGGACTTTCATACACTCGCGGTTTTAATTATATTCATAGTGAGTATATTTTTAAAATGACTTTTCATGTTGATATGTAATTTTAGTAATTTTATTACTGGCCCAATGTAAATAATCTTTAATAGCTACATGTATGAAGTAATAGTAGCCATATTGTTAGATGTATATAATAAAAATTGTAAAGCCTTTCATGCTAAGAATTGTATTTATTTCCAAATATGTTATCTAATGACAGACAAGTCTTCGAAAATATGAGGCAGGCCTTCTAGATGACTTACATCATCAAGATAGGAGTGTGCTCCAAATATTGGGTATACCGATTATTGCACCCACTTTAAACATTGCAGAAAAGGAAAATACGGTTCTGGAGGAGGGTGAGTATAAATCATTCATTATAAGGTATTAAAATCTTTTAGGATGGTTAAATATTTAAAAATGCTATAACTATTTAGTAAAAGCTTTACGGCTAACTACATATAACCTCCATTGTTGTCTTTCTCCCCTTTTTATTCTTTGCTTATAAGGAACTAGGAGTTTTAGACGACAAAACATTGTAATTTGCCATTAAAACAACGGGTTTCAAACAAGACCCATAGGTTTTAAAAATAAATTGTATTGTTTTTTCTTATTTGTTTAACGCTTTTATGTCCTCTTTCCTCTCTCTTTTTTTTTTTTTGGTTGAAATGATTTCTCAGATTTTCATATTTTTATTCCACATTGCTTATCTTATCTTCGCCAAGACTAACAAGTTCTAATGTTCCCTGTCCTTCTTGATTTTGGTACATCTCTTCTATTCTTGTTTCATTTCATTTATAATCCAAAGTAGTTGATCCCCACAAGGGATGCCAAAAAAAAACACTATCTTTTATTATATATGATTATCCTCCCTGATAATGCCTTTTTCGTTTTAAACAATGAGTAAGTAGGATGGCGACAGATATTCCCTGTAAGGGCACTGTAATGGGGAATTCTGATATGGAGAGTTTAGGACTACTTGGATCCTCTATTTTGCAGCAAGTATGGATTTGGCATGGGTACAAAAGAGTAAATCATCTCAATATGGTGAAGCTTTCACAATACTTGTAAAATATCTTTAATAAAGATGAACAATAAAGTTGGTGAGAAATCTCTATCATGTCACCAAATAATTATTTAGCCAATTTATATTACCCATAAAAACTTCCTCTGTTCCCAATTACCAATCTTAGCAACTTTGATCATCAGCTCACCATCCTACATATTGTGCTTTGGTAACATCCACCTAGACTGCAAGTGAAGATTTCTATCATTCATCTGCTCAGTGATGAAGGCAGGAGTCTTCTGTGAATTTGTTTTTTCTAAAGGCAGTTTGTTTTGGATCAAATTTTTCTGTCCCATGGTTCTATCAGATTGTTGTTAAAAAAGTACTCCATAAGCTTTATAGTGCAATCTGGTAGAGTTATTGGGCAATAGCTATTAACATTCCCTGTGGGTTTTCACTATTTCCCCATTTCTATATGCCTAGAAAGATGTATGCTTTGCAACTTTAATAGTTCAAGGAGTTTTGTCTTCACAACACTCTCCCCATACTGATCAGATACTTGTTCATGACATTTTTTTCACTTTGAGGGTATTTCAGTTTCAACAAGACCAAGGCATTGTTTATTGTTAAAAAGTGGTATGGAGTATCCATTTCCCATGGAACTCTCTTTCAGATATATTTTTAATTTCTTGTATATCCTTTCTTCTTATCCAGACATATGTCCATATTTTCTGTACCACAAAGTGGTCCATAAGCGTGCCCTCTGCTTCTTTTCCATTTATAAGTCTTCTCTTTTCCCCAAAAATGATCATATTAGACTTTGATTTTCCCCTGTTGTAGATTTTTCAAGTTTCCGAATTTGGAATGCCACAATCCAGATCCCCTATCTTTTCTTTGCAGGTCATCTCATTTGAAGTTTGCATAGCAGGTTTAAGTATTTATAGGTTACCTTCAGTTTCATGTTGTTCTGGATTGATAGCTGAATGTCAGCAGTACTTCAAGTCCATGATAATTCTTCCTCTGTAGTTTCCAGGATGGCTTGTAGTTTTCCAAAAAGCTCTTTTTTTTTTTGTTGTATAGCTTTAAGGATAGTTGATGAAGTTGAGTTTTCTGGACATTGAACTCATATGTTAGCTGAATTTATTGGTAGTATTTTCAAGATTTTCACAGTTGGCCTTTATTAAAGTTTCAGATAGAGGAAACGTGAAGGTCTTTACATCAGTGTTAATCAAGATTTCATCAAAATATTTATTGTTATAGTCTACACACATCAAACAATCGAGTAAGACTTATAAATTTTGCGGCATCACATCTGATCTTACTATTGGCAGTGCCCATATTACAGGATACTAAAATGAACATGGAAACCACCAGATAGATCTATAATAAACCAAATCAATCATATCCTTATTGACTGAAACCATAATTCATTCATATAATATTAGGCATATTATTGTATTACATTATTATTATAGTATTCAAAGGAGAAAATGTGGATTCAGATCAATTTTTAAGTATAATAGGTTTTATATACAATAATATATGATAGGTCCTTTCCTTTATTGTATTTTGAAGAAACATTTTATCCAATTATTGACATGATAGGCATGAATGGGGCATTAAGCCATTGACTCATGGGTAACTCTGAATGTCCAATGAGAATTAAGTACAGCTCTGCGAGAATGAAGCAGCATCTATGAGTGCTCAACGAACTAATTATGACATATGATTAACAGACTATTAGTTGTAATAATTTATTCCTTTATGAACAAGAGCTAGACACAGAGATGTCATGAATCAAATACAGAAAATTTTGTCATTGATACTTCTCACTAAGAGTTAATAAGAGTTAGAAAATGTATCGTGTATTGTTCTTGATAAAATCCTTAATAATAAAATTAGTTAATAAGGTGGTTGGAGCACATTGCTGTCCAATTTATCTTCTTTAAAGCCAAGGATCAGGTACTTCAACCAGCAACTGTCCCCTAGGTTATTCATGTTATTTATTTACTATTTTGATCTTTACTATGATCTATACTATTTGATACAATTGTTTTGCAGGACCTTGTATGAGAATAGAATCTAATGAGGTGATACAAGATTATAATGAATCAGCAGCTCTAAATATATCACAGATGAGTGATTTAGAACTAAAAAGAGGTTTGCTGATGCAAGAGTTCAGATTAAACGAGTATAAACTGTTAAAAATGAAGTTTTTTTTTATCAAATCAGGGAATGTACAAATTTATCAACAATTTTTAAAACAATTAGAAATGTAATTTATAAAATATAATTAATATATTTATATTTATAAAATATAATAAAATGTAATTATATTTAAAATCCATTTATAAAATGAATTCCTTTTCTGAATTCATCTTTAGACCATTACTAATGGAGGTTTCCTAGCAAAGCTCATTAAATATGGCAACATTCTCTATTTCTATTTGTGTGATATCTATTTTTTTATATAAATATTTTACTTCTCCCTTGACTATAGACAATATGGTTTTGGCAGGAAAAACATGTCATATGCCATCTATGCTATAAGTCGTTCGATTGTTTTTGTTTTCAAAATTTTACCAGTCACCTCTTTATAGTTTGACAGTTGATTCCTTTTTTTTAATTCAACATTCTTAGTTTCAAATATCACCTTCTTTGTCAGGTGGTATTCCTGGGACTGGTTTTGTTCACCCACGATGGAAGTGTGATAGACGTAAGACAGATTTCCATTCATAAACAAAATCTTTGTAGTACGGGTAGTTTTTTGCTTTCAGAAGTTGGAGTTCTCTGTCTATTAGGATGTAGAGTCCAGTTTCTCTTAACTACTTGGCTTTGAGAGATTAACAGATGAATATAGCCAGTGCTGACATGCTCGGCTGTCACTGGTTCACTACATCAGGAACCTAGCGGGCAGATATCCTGGCCATGCGTCTGTAGCTCGGCACGAAAGCCTCCATGCCCATTTGTATGATATCTTTTTCATTATCACTATTATATTACCCCCTACCTACCCCTTTCTAGCATACAGGAGGAGGGTGTTCTCGAGGTACAAACAAACCTCTTCTAAACAGAGTGGGAAGGTTGAGATTTGTACCGTGGGTCCACCACAAAATAAAAGTCAACCTTTCCAGACCGGATTCGAACCATTTAATGAAATTCATCTGTAAAACTTCTTAAGTGATTGATTTTATTGATTAAAATAAGGTTAGATAGGGTTACCCTATCCTTCTTAAAAGACAAAAGTCAATATCTGTGACATATTAAATAACATAATACTGAAAATTACAAAGATCTCAAATTATTTCTTGAAAAATTGGTAGTATCAAGTTGTTCTTATGATCAGTAATTACCTAATTAAAGCAGAAAAATAAAATTGATTAAAAAACAACATTTGAATTTTTTATATTTATCTACCTTCATAATAATTACAATATAAATTATGAATTAATTTGTAAAAGGAGTGGACCTCATGTCTTAAAAAAGGTATCTCTAGCTAGTCCACTTAATCAACTGCTAAATTATAATCAGTATATCTGTCCAAAACTAAATAACCACATATAGTATGTGTTATATTTCTTTGGTATGATTGCGGGTAAAAAAATTTACTCATATCCAAATGTTGTTTAATATGACATTAAAAAAAAAAAGTTAAACAATTTAAGAGATCAATTTAGCTAGTGTTAAATCTGGCCATATTTAATGCTTGAATAAAATGTTCGATTGAATTGAAACAAGATCTAGAAACCAATCTAAAACTGGTTTCCAAAGAGCTGCGGATGAACATAAATCGGGTCTGGTCTTTTCTTATTTCCTGTTATTTATGTTTAATCAAGATTTTATCATGTTAGTTAATGCATTGTTTGTGCAAAAATAGTTTAAAATTCCCTTGTTAGGGTGAGTGATGAGGGCAGATCAAAAGATCTAAAAGATAACACTTAATCTGTATGAACGACAGTGCACTCAGCCGATACCAACACAGATATTCAGAGACAACAGATTCCCCCAGGGGTGCCCTCAGGTAACAAAGAGATGTATTAAGCCGGCATCAAAATGGTAAGCTGTTCGTATTCAACAAGGTCACTAACTAACAGAACACCCCCTAGGATCACCTTCCCTACGAAGCCGGATGGGGGAGCAAGTCAGGACGCTCTGAGGAGGCAGCCCCTCCACCTGACTCGGGGTCAGTGGGCCAATAACCCATTCCCTTTAAATTATTTATATTATGAATGCTCCGAAAAGATTAGCCGGACCGATAAACAGGAAACAACACAATGCTCGTCAATTGGACAACGCTTTGGCTTCATGGAACGCTTTAAATCTACATAGACTCGGAGCTACACAAATGCTCCTAAACATCTTAAACACATATTCAATAGACATAGCGGCCATCCAAGAGATCAGGTGGACTGGACAAGGCAGCCTTAAGAAAGACCAGCACACCATTTATTATAGTTGTCATGACCGATTACACTCGTTTGGAACTGGATTCATTGTGGGAAAAAGAGTGACCCAGCTAGTTATAGATTTCAAGCCTATCAACCTCAGACTCTGTGTTTTACGAATCAAGGGAAAGTTTTACGTCAGCATCATCTGTGTATACACGCCTACAGAAGTCTCTGATGATGAAATGAAAGACAAATTCTATGAGGAACTGGAGAAATGTTTTGATGACTGCCCTGCCCATGATATGAAAATAGTGATTAGAGACTATAAAACTCAAAATGGAAAAAAGAAAGCCTTCAGGCCTACCAAAGAAAGAAAGCCTTCATGAGAAATCCAATGTCAATGGAGAAAGGGTAGCGAACTTCGCAGCCTCTAAAGGTTTGGTCATGGGAAGAACCAGTTTCCTGCACAAGTTAGTGCATCTAGAAAAATGGAGGAAATTCAAACGGAACAGATCCATTACAAGCTCTCAGATCAACCATGTACTCAAGGCGTGACAATGTACTGTGACGAGGCGCGAGAGGAATGTCCATAGGAGAAAGAAAAGATGATGGGAGAATAAGAGTCTACAGGAGATAGAAGAGGTCTTCATCTCCAAAAATAGTTGAGAATTCTTCCAGGTTGCTAATAAAGGAAGAAAGCCCTTCTTCGCCCATACCACCGGATGCAGAGCAAACGATGGTTCTTTGGTAATTGATAAACCCAAAGATTGGCAGTTCGGTATTTGCAAAGATTACAAATATATGGTTTTTCATTTGAATGAATGATACACATGTGGCACTTCAACCTTCCAGAATAAGGAGATTTATATTCGCATGAAGTACAATGGTATCGTTTCTCTCTCGAACGTTTGGGAACAGATCTTCTTGTTATGAACTCTTTGTCTTCTTCCTGAATATTAACTTCAGCTAAGATAAACACGCAAAAAGATCCTGAAACAAAAAATAGATGACCGTTAAATAATACATTTCTTTGTGAAATATATAATAGCATATTACAGTCGCATCATTCCTAATTTGATACTTTAAAAAATCACATAAATTTGAGCTGTAATAGAATTGAAGCCATAAAGAACGCGTTTGAGATTACACTTTCAAATAATAAAAAGAAAGTCAATATTCAGCTAAAAACACAAAATAATAGTAGGTCTGGGATCTACGACTCGCGAACACAATGCTATGTGTTTTATTATATATATGTGTTTTATTATAAATATGTGTTACATTTATAAAACTTATTAAAATAAATATTTCTATTCCTGTACTTAAAATTTATGCCATGCTTTTCCTTTCACTTACCTAGATATGAAATATGTAGTAAGAGAAGATATTGTGATAATAAAAACGTTTGAATCAGAGTTTTCAATGAAAATACACATTTCAAGATCCAAGTAACCAAATCTCTCAAAATGGTTCATGGTGATTAAAATCGGAAAAAGAAAAATAATAAAAACATTATTTGTACAAAACTAAAAAAAAAATTTACATTTTAAAGGTGCACTGTGTCTATAATAATTTGAAAGGTAAGAATTTCATATAAAACAAAATAATTAATGAAAATTTAATCAAAATTAACAAAAATACAGAATATTCAATTTTTTAAAGATGTTTTATATAACTTTCCTGTCATTAAATAAGATAAATATTGTAGTCTGATAAAATGTTCAATGCGCAATGTTTAATAGATCTTTACATTTAGATTTATTAAATAGATCTTTACTTCTGTATATTTATATTTAAGTTCATATATTGTCCTAAGGATAGAAGAGGACTATGCTGTGTATATAGCAACCCAATATAATTGGCAGCAATCCTTTATATTTTATATTTTATGAAAATAAAGTGTTTCTCTCTCTAGAATCTGTTAAATTCAGAGCCTTATTTCCAATTATTTCAGATTCTTACTGTAAAGATAATTACATGGTCTACAAAACCAAACTTTAAATTAACTGATATATATATATATATACACAAATTATACAAGATAATATGGTTATCTTGAAGTAGATACATAGATTTGAAAATAAAATCGAAAGGTAAGAAAAAACTGTCAGTTTTAAGTTAGTGGAGCATGCACTCAGGCTACCAAATAACTGTTTTTAATTAACATTAAAAAGTTACTACAATATTTTCTAAAACATTTCTTATGCTCTAATACAGATTCTAAATTTTTTCAGAGCTGTTAAGTAAAAAAATTAGATATAGAAATGATTAAACCTGTATTATTTTTTACCATCTTTCCCGCCATTATTCACCTCATTCATGGCTGTAATAGAATACATACCATTTATTAGCACACCATAATTTGATTGAAAATTATATTTAAGTTTTTATTATACAAAAGTACTCAATTTCTGCACCTTCGATGCTGCCTGTGTACTCAGGAGTGTCATGTAACGGAAGAAAGTAACATAGGTCAGTATAAATATGAATGAATTTAGCTGATATGAAAACAATAATTATAAAAATCCTAGAATATTTTTTACAAATATTGATTGATCGTTATTAATGTTATAATCTAACAGTTACTTTATTTTTCTACAAACTTTGAATTTTCAAAATGAAGTGCATTTTGAATTCAATAGTATCTTAATTTGAAGTCTGAAACTCTATTTATACAATTAGCTGATAATTTTTTTTAAATAATACTAAATATAATTTTCAAAAAATTATGATCTAGATAGCTACTAGCTCGTGGCCACTAAAATCAAATAAATATTTTATAAGAAATCTAAAAAGTAATCATTAAAAGACAGATGAAATACTTAATAGTCAAATAATAAAAATGAAGAGAAGAATGGTTGGGGTGGTCAGTCAAAAAGGAAGGCAAAAATAAATGATAATATTTATTTTTTACATATGGCGACGTTTCGACCTGAAGTTCAGGCCTTCATCAGGGCTGTCTCCTTAAGAGTCCCAGGGAGAAATGATATGCCATTTCTCTCTGCGACACTTAAGGAGACAGCCCTGATGAAGGCCTGAACTTCAGGTCGAAACGTCGCCATATGTAAAAAATAAATATTATCATTTATTTTTGCCTTCCTTTTTGACTGACCACCCCAACCATTCTTCTCTTCATTATCCACGACAGTCAACCAATTACCAATTACAAATAATAAAAAATTTGATAGTGGTGTAAATGTTCCCCAAATGTCAACATGAAATTATGAATGAAAGTCACACATCAAAATTGGTTTTCTTTTTATTTGGTTTTAAGTAATCGTAGTGGTAATTTATTATTTTTATATATATTAATCAGCATTAGAGTCAAAATGACAACTTAACAGAAGTATTAATGTATTATTATTTAATAGTTACTAAATGTTTCTTTGCAGGACTCTTACAAGACATATTTTAGCTGAAAATAATCACAGATTAGTTTCATTAGAGTCTTACTCCAATTGGTAATATTTTGAAGAGTAGGTCTAAATAGATAACAGTAAGATAATATCTTATCATTTTATGATAAGTTGTCATTGACAGAATATAAGATAATTAAAATCAACAATAATAGTAACCTATAGTTGACATTCAATCAATAAAATTAATTAAACCAAGATTATTATTTACCTCAAAAATAAAAATCAACAAATCATTCGAGAAGAAGACTTACTATTCTGCCTTTTAAAAGTTGTCTTTAGTTTACCTGTTATGGTCATAGATCGCGCTTACATTTCAAAAGATCTATGTTGAATGCCTAGATTGTATAGTGATTCCTACTTCTATGGGTTCTATTTTAATCAACCAAACCTGGGTAAAATGTATTTTAAATATTACTTTATTACTTGTATTTTGTGTTTTCAAAATAATAATAATACTTTATTTATTCTGGGACAATTCCCTTTAGAATAATACAATAATACAGAAATGTGGGCTAAGGAGCCTCAAAGATACATAAATAATATTCATAAAATAAATTAACAGTCATAAAACAAAAAAATATCAGTTAATTTGGGAATTTAATCAATTAATAAAAAATAAATAAAAACATATAAAACATAAGTAAAAATATGAGGAGTTAGTCGGAGGTGCGGTCAGATAAATACTAAACTAAAATATAGTGATTATTTTATTTTAATTTTGCCGACGTTTCGACCCACTTTGCAGGTCGTCTTCAGGGCTACAATGGCTTTGTATCTTCAAGGGCTTTGTATACAATACAAGGGCTTTGTATCTTCTACATATATAATACTTAATATTTTACTACATTGTCACCCACTATATCTCTGATATCATCTTTTATTTCTGTATCTGACAACTTCTTCTTATTTTATATCTACTTATATTTAATTTTTATTCTCAACATGTTTTGTATCTTTTGTAGCCATGAAGACGACCTGCAAAGTGGGTCGAAACGTCGGCAAAATTAAAATAAAATAATTACTATATTTTTATTTAGTATTTATCTGACCGCACCCCCGACTAACTCCTTCTCATATTATATCAACGGTCAACCATCTCTACATCATAAGTAAAAATAATTAAGAATGATCTGATAATTTATATAAATATTTACAGCAATATCTATACACAATTGTATGGGGACTGGATGGATAAAAATGGTTAAACAGGCGGGATTTAAAGGTAGGGAGGGTATTGGAGCGATGGGTGTGGGAAGGGATGGAGCTCCACAGGGATTAGGATCGGATAATGAACAATCTGTCGAAGGAGAGGTTCAGTGGGCCGTAGTATATAGATCTGAAGACCTAGACCGGGTACTGCGGGAACGAATCGTTGGATGACTTGAAAGACGAAGGATGTCAGGAAATACTTACGATGGCAGGGAGGATAAAGCCTCTTCAACTCTTCATGAAAACGGGAAACAGAGGTGTCTCTTGCGATCCCGAAGATGAATCGAACAAAGCAATTTATGTTTATGCAATATATTCTAAGAAAGGGTTTGAGCAAAGGTTATTCCTAGGTTCTTAATAGTGGGATAAAATGTAATGGGATTATCTTGTAGGAACAGGGTAAGAATATTAGGAACAGTTTTAAGGAGGTACTAGCGGATCCAGGATTTAATTTTGGGGGGGAGGCTTCAGCCCGAAAGATTTTTTTTCATATACGTATAACAATAATTAATTAGAAAAAAGAAAGAAAGAAATTAACTAAATATATGAAATGGTGTTTAAGTGGTTCTTGAAGTCCTATTAAATGTAATTACACTAACAAGAATACTTTAAGAGATAGTTATTAATTATCTGTAAAACATGGTTATATTTCACCATTTTGGGGGAGGGCATCAGCCCGAAAATTCTCCCCTCTCCCCGTAGATCCGCCTGTGTAAGGAGGTGATTGGAACCTACTAGGATTGCCTTTGTCTTCTCCGCATTCAACTTCAAGTTACAGTACTGTATTACAAAATCCAGTATTTTAATTAGAAAGTTTTTCAATTTTTAATGATTTACAACTTCAAATTAATTGTTAATTTTTCATTGAAAATATTCTTCGAATTAATGGTTTTTTAACTTCAAATTTACCATAAGTTGTGTATGAGCTACGTAAAATGACCCGGAAGTGGTTGAAAACTCCGTAAATAAATAAATATAATACTATATTATCCATATACTCTATATCACTTCAATTAATAGTTATTATAAGATCTAGCTATATTTACAGCTTAATTTCAAATATTGTACATGTTAAATAGCGAAATATTGAACAAACAATTTTTCAACTGGAATGAAAATTCTTATTTGAGGATTTTTAGGTGTGCGAAAAAGGAGTGTCATCTTTTAGTACACATAAAAAATTTTGAATCGAATCCGAATGTGTTTATAGTGTATATTTACAAATTATGCATTATTCCATTATTAGGATCGAATCGGCACAACATACTACATACCAAATCTTACTTCTAGCTACACACCCGATTTAGAAAGTAAATTTATAATTAACATATAGAATGACTACAATATTTAAACAGTCTTTACCGGCGGAGGGAGTGAAGTGGGTTAAAATTTGTTTTTGTTTTTCTGGAGAAACAAAGTTCATATTTGTATTTCGCACCTCGAAAAACTCTTGCATATGAATTTTCATAGCAATCACACATTTTTGGTTTATTATTTTCAATAATCGACCATTGTGATCGAGCAAAAAATTCAAAAACTTAACCCCCTCTCAAAATTTGAGGTTTCACGTTTCAGGATGCGTAGAATTCGAAAAACGAATAAAACATTTTTTGTCCGTCCGCCGTCCGCCGTCCGCGCATTTTCTCCGAAACTACTGGACCGATTTTTTTCAAATTTGGATATAAAATCAGATGTCACCCGAGGATGATCCTCCTTCATCGACATTACTATCCGCCTTTTACTTTCAAAATGGCGGCCGAAAAACCTGCGTTGCTATAGACTAGCTCCTAAACGAATGTACCGACTTCAATGAAACTTCGCTACAGTCATTTTCTTGACGCCCTTTAAATTTATCTATATATCATACTTCAACGAAAAGAAGCTGGAAAAAAAGTTACGAGGGATGGTAAAATTAAATTCCGAATAACTCAAAAAGTTAACACTTTTTTGTCGATAATGTATATGGTTTTTTAAAAGTTTACGAAATTTCCTAAAAACCAAAAAAAAAAAAAATCGTTAAAATCGGACAATTAGGAGCAAAGATATGGTCTCCGGTTTTTTAAAATATGTTCTACTCCAAATGTTATATCCTTTGTTTGGTTTTTAAATTTTGAATGTGTTACTGATGTAATGCTATTTTTTTTTAGCATATTACCGATGATTAAAAAAAAAAGTTTAGTCCAATAATTGGAATCACCTTTTATTTATTTTTCTTTGTAACTATGTAGGTAATGTTACTTTAGATGTATAATTGTCTGAAAATAATAAACCATTGTGGAATGATTTGCAGCGTTTTTTTTTTTATCCAAAAATGTCTTAATGTGATAACTTCCACGTAATTACCAACGGAGGTAAGTTGGCAAGAACCCTTCCCTATGGATCGAATATTATTTTTCGGCTTTCACAAAAAAAAAAGTTTTATTAAAATCGGTGCTACCACGTTTTTAACCTTCCCTGACAGATAAGCTTTCATTTATTTCATTGGCTTAAAACGTACATACATAAAAATTATATTTTTAATTCAACAAATGATTCCTTGTTAGAATTAAGCATTTATTTTGGATTGATTTAAATCATACAAATTTTTAAAAGTTAAATCTTAAAAAATAGATTTAAGCAATGTTACGTTAATAATAATAAGTTATTGCATTATTTTCTACTAGTTTGCCCGTGCGAATAATTCGTAGAAAATTTTGTTTAGTGAAGAAAAAGCAAAACAATATGGAAATAAGTAGATCCTATGTATCATGTGAGGAAGGAATTAATATTTTTTTCCTCGGGCGATTACAATATTCCTTTTAACATAATAGACCAAAATATTTATACAAATTGCTTTGCTAGGACCTATTTTTAAACTCTGACTGGAAAGATAATAAAAGTAGTGAAGACAAAATAATGCCCCGATCATGGGATTTTCTAAATTATAAAAAAAAAAATGTAAGAACAAACAAATGCCTTTAAGAAACAATAAAGTTAATATATCATCTAGGAAAAAAATTGTAGTAGACTATTCAACTCCTAAGTGCAAATATCTTTAAAGAGGAAAACATTATTAAGTATACCAAAACTAATGGACTGTATCTTTTTTAATCATTGTCAGATTTATACGATTATTTTATTTATTTTTTTTGTTTTGTAGGTAGTTTAGTAATCTTTCTAATCATCGTGGGTACAATCAAGAAAATAATGCATACTTTTTGAGTTATTAAATAAAGTTTCTTTTCCTTCATAACATTTTTCCAAAGATTTTGGGAGATAGGACTATTTTTCGCATGTGAAGGAGAAGAATATCTTCAAAATGAGTGGCCAATCATTGGATTTTATGAAGAATTGACGAAGTTTTTTGAATAATGAAAATAATTTTATTATTCTGGGATTAGTTTCCCTTTAGAACAAGTTACAAATACAGAATATATATTAATATTTTGGTGTGTCAGTTAAATACAGTTTAATATTTAAATGTTATAAATTTATTATAAATTAAATGTTATTATTATTTATATGTTATAAATAATAAAAAGATATAAATACGTGTAAATATAAAATATACAGAGAAAGTAATTAATTTATGGCGTACCAACAAAAAAACACCTTTTAAAAATAATATATAGGATTGTTCCGTGAATTTCAATTAATTTTATAGTTTGACAAAGTTGTCATTCCAGAATTTCTAAAATAATATTTTCCGAAATACTGGAATGATAAATGAATTCTATGTGTTGATGTCCACTAATCACTGCAGTGTCAATAATGGCTTAATACCCTTTTATTGTTTTATGGAAAAAAATATATCTATTGTTGTAATTATTTTCAAAACTAACGGATTTTATTTATGATATTTTTGTTGTTGTTTTTTAAATTCAAAATTGTTATAAAAATCATATAAAGTTTGTTACATATTTTTATGTTACTTAGGAAATTAAAAATGTTAATATCTTTGTAAATTGTTGAAACAAGGGTTTAATTTCATGCTAATGCTACATTAATATGTACAGTAATGTTTTTTCTTATTTTGCTTATTATTTTTTTTTTCTAACCCTCCAAAATGTTTACATATATAGTAAACATAACAATACAATATATACAAGTAACAAATTCCTTCCACTGCCCGAGGGCATTTTAAGGATTGGGGATAGCTATATTATATTATATCCCTTCATTTAAAGGTATTGTTACTTTTTAAAATATCATTTACAGAACTTTGCTGATTTGGATTATATATGAATAGCGTCATGTCGAAGACGGACATCTTAGATTTTTGAAAATTTGGGAAAAAGCCAATTTTCTGTAACATAGCTTCAATTTAAACCAATTCTAATGATTTTTTTTTTTTCGAAATTCAACTTGAATATTCTTAAATAAAATCATCAGAAACAGTTTGAGTTGAACCTATAAAACAAAAATTGATTTTTTTTTTCAACTTTCTGAAATGACAGTTGTCCGCCTTTGATTAACTGTTATTAAAATCTAACTATTAGTTATTACTTATACTTATTACTTGTTTGAAGAAAAATTTTAAAAGAAATATTCGTTGAGATAATTCAATAAAGAAGAAGTACATTTTAATAGTTTAATTTCTTCTATAAAGTTAAAAAAAAATGAAATGCAATATTATTTTCGGCTACTAATTCAAAGGCCGCCATTTTATTTACATCTAAGATGTCTAGCAAGACCAGTTGACAGCCAACAGTCGGAGTGATATCGTGTGTTGTGTCGCGTGTTCAGGTGATTAAGAAGACTGGTATCGTATCGTTCTGCGTCAATGCAATTTTTAAAAAAATATTTATTATTTCCGACCTCTGAAGATGATGTACAATCCAAAAATTTTCGCTCAGGTAGAACATAGTCCGTTAAACGAGGGAGACGATTATGATGTGATTGTTATCAAAGGCATCGATCCGGCTACGGAAACTGGCAGAATTTTCGTCGATCTGGAGCGCCTCGGATACAGGGTACACAGCATCAGGAACGGAATGATCACTGCAACACAACGCGCAGCACCGGTGTTTTATGTCGAATTGTTCAAATCACCGTACAATGATACAATTTTAGGAATGAAACGCGTTGCTAACCAGAACGTCTACATACAGAGATACCAAAATCCACAACAGGCGAGACCAACTATTCCCCAAGGTCATGATCACCCATCTGTCAGCCGGCCTCAAAACCAAGAAGAGGTTCCTAGTTTACCAATGTGCGCTTGGTGCAGGGGCACACATCAGACGAGTGTATGTACCATCGGCGAAGATTACCCTCCAGATGGTTGTGAGTGTGGAGGATGGCATCCTTCCTACCATAAATGCTGTAATGATTACCGAAAGCGTGTCATCGATTTTATGGATAAAATTAGGAAATCTTCCAATGTTACTGAAATAAATATGCCAACAAAGGACCTTATAGAAAAAGTTCATGAGGAGAAAAAAAAAGAGGACCAACCTCTGGATTCAGAGATGGAAAAGAAAGTGATCAGCACAATATCATTCACTCATGATACATTTTGCCTGGATTATCTGGAAAAAAATTTTAAGTTCACCTTAGACCATTATTTAAGCATGCACTGTGTCAGTAATACACTTATTTAACAAATTTAAGATTAGGCTATTTCAATTTCATAAAAATAAATAAATAATAATAAAAACAATTAATTGAATATCAGGTTGAATAACATCTAGAATTAATTGAATAACAATACATCACCTGGCTTAACAGTAAGAGATATGTCAATAATGAAATAACGTCTAAGAACTAAATGAAGTCAAATTAACAAAAAAGAATATTTTTAAAAATGTTTTTTCCGATTTGATTTCTTATAAATTCTAGACACATGATCATTATTTATTTAATTATTTAGATACAATTTTTAATTATTTACACAGCATATTAATTGGTCACTTTATTTAAAAATTATAAATATTTCCTTCTAATTACTGTTATAATTTTTATTGAATAGTTGATTAGATCATCAAATTAAACAAAATAAAATCTGCTCCTCTTCATTATGAATAATGACAATATTGGTTGTCATTTTATTTATCTTAAATTATTATAGATAAAAGATATATTTGCTTAGAAATAGTTTGACTACTTATAATGTTAGTTGTTGGGGTCATAGTACCCTGATCCTTCTGATAAAGTATCAATATTTTTGTTGTTAAATATTTATCTCATATGATAATGTTTGTGTCATAGCTTAGTAAATTTTGAGAAAAGATTTAAATTTGTTGATCAATATTAAAAATGTATATTTTACATTTAAGCATATAAAAAACTGTTTGAATACCATTAATATTACTTACAGAATTAATAAATAGAGTAACAATGTAAATGTAGGGTAAATGCACCAGTAGCTGACATGCTTAAGGAAATTTCTTTGAACTTTTACGTGTGAAAACTTAAATGTTGATGTTGTTATATTTGTCATGGGTTCGTCTTATAGAACTATTTCCCACCTTAACAAGACATATTTCAAACCCATGAAACTTTCATCTAAATTTTAAAAAAATGAAAATTAAGAGAATAGTTTTGTAGTAACTGTAGCAAATCACTGTTTGATTTGAAAAGTTCCTATAGCTGACAGGGATGAGAACAAGGATGTAATTAATCTTAATTTCTTATTCTTCATTTTAAGCTTAACAAAAATAACCTTTGACTTATTATAAAACTGACTTCTTGCGTTTCCTGACTTAAATTTATCAATAAATGCTAGTCAATGTCAACAACCTACTTTTGGCCATAGGAAAATCAATTTTTGTATTAAATTTAATTCAAATCATTAGAAATTTTTTGTTAACGAAACAGTAATTCATTATAAACACCCATTATATTCATTATATCCTTTTGAATTTATGAGAGTAGAGACCTGTATAATGCTGGTAACAAATACTGGTAAAAGTCCCCATTATAATGCTCCAGTAGCTGACTCCCATTAAATATCCTATTTCTTCATCAAGTTGAAAATAGATAAAACATAATTTAAAAACACTCAAAAAAAAAAATCAAACAAAAATTTAGGAATAAATCACGGTAGTTAAAAAGAAAAAGGCAAAGCTAAGGTATGGTGCTCTTACTGACGGTTGTTCCTGGGACACTAAGTGTGTCCCACTGGAAAAACAGTGTGAGGAATCTTCCTAATTTGTAACTCATTATTTCGGTTGCGATTTCCAGTAAGACTAAAGCAGAGCAGACAAATACACCAGTAGAAAATATAGAAACTAAAAATACATGAAATAGATTTCTAGGTCCTGAAATTTTATTATTCCCATTTTTTGCAGAGGATGTCAGGAATTGGTACAATGTCAGCTATTGGTGCTTTTACCCTAAAAGCCATTTGTTGAAACTAAAACAAAATAAATTATTAATTAATTCATTAGAGATCTTCTTGGAAAGTAGTTCATCTTTTTCTTTCAAATCAAGGTCTTTACCAAATAATATGCTGTGCGATTACAATTGTATTTTTTTTTTAAATTTAATTATATAATACTAAATACATTCTATAATTTTAATATTCAGCTAAGTTAAAACCATTCTATGGGGGATCTTAAGCTGGTAAACTATCCTAAGGGATAAGGAGATGATTCCATATCTCATTTGAAACAAAAACATCATATACTTTCAAGGCCCAGTTACAAACAGATAAATAGAAAATTTAGATTTTCTGTTGTTTTTGTTGAATAGTAAGCGATATATAGTCTCAGTTTCGTGCGAGTTTTTGTTTTTGAACTAGGCTATTCATATACATATACACGCACAGACCAAATTGAGGCACTTATCAAATCAGGTATGTGAAAATAAAAAGTATAATGTCTAAGGATTAATCCTATATTAGTTCGAAATATTTGTAGTGTATATATTACCAATTATGAATGAATGAACAAATTAATTATAAGATAAAAGAACATTCATAAAAAAAAAAAAATAAATAAATAATAATAATAATAACATTAGCTTATGACAAATAAGGTCTCTATGACACCATAAATAAGAAAAAGTAAAAAGGAATATAATTAATAATAGTTTTCTCCTCACTTTTTGTCTATAGGTCTAATTTAACAAATAAACACATTTAATTTATAGTGTTTTTTGAACAATTAAGGAATACTTTGTCCACCTCATCAGTATTTATAACAACAAAATATTCCCAAGACACTCAAATAAAAATAATAAAGGAAACACTATAAATTAAGTGTATTTATTTGTTAAAATCGACCTGTAGGCAAAAAGTATATGTAAGATATTTTTTATAAGTGTAAGTGTAAGGGAAATTTTTATTGTGATTGTGAAAATCTTTTAATCTGAGTTTTTAGCAGGAATTTTGGAGGTGCCTTTAGTCCAAAATACTAAGTTCATCAAAACGATCTTTGTGCATATATGTATGTGAACAGCCTTGTTTAAAAATGAAAAGTCACTCGCAAATGAAATTATATATTTAAGGTGAGTATACCTGGGATGTTACAACGAATTTGTCTACAAAATCAACTAACTGAAAGTGCCACTTTATATTATAAATTTTACATATTTTTACAATTTTCTCGAAAAAAGCTCTAAGAATTTGGATTAAACCCAGTATATTTATTTAAAAATAAATGATTTTTTAATATCAGCTAGCTATTCTTATTGATATCGTCTAACAGAGCTTAAATGTCTAATGTTCAAAATTTCTTTCTCTGAAGTATCTCTTATTTGGCTTATTTTAAGCAATTAACTTTCTCCCATTGTTAATAGTTATAAAAAAAAGCTTAGTATAAACTATGAAATAATTTGATATTTGACTAAAGCAGAAAAAAGAAATAATATTTTTTCAGGTGAAAAAAGAATTTAAAGAAATAATAGGAAATGTTGGAAAGGTGAGAATTTTAGAGAAAAAAAAAGCAATATCTAACAAAGTCGTCTAAGTTAATGGAGAATAACGAAAAAATAATCCTTTATTTAAGGGTGTTTTCTTCATAAATTGACGTTTCTCTCAGCCAAATTCCTCCCTGAGTCACTTCCTCCTCCTAGCCCTAGGCCAGCCATACTGTCAGCTACAACATCTCTCCAACTGACACGAGGTCTTTCTCTGCTTCTGCTACCCTCAGCCTCCCACTAAAAAAATTATAAATAGTAATTTCTGAAAATTAATATTAGTTCGCTGATTTAGCTCTAGCCAGATATCTATCCTTTCATGATAAACTTCAGTCCCATCCAAATCCGCTTGTTTCCACTCTTGCTTCTTTCTCTATCCCTGATAATCCTCCTAGGCGTCTGAAAAGGAGATGGCCTCGTGATCTTCTTAATTAGAATTATTTAGGGAGTGCTACCACTGGGTAGTATCTCTTCAAGCCTGTACATATCATTATTTATAATTTGCGCATATTTACTAGTTGTATTTGTATACAGTTGTAAATTTCATTAAATAAACAAAACAAAAAAAATTATTTAACAGAAATCAAATGTTTCCATAGAAACTAAACAGAATTCCCCAACTAAATTTATACTTTGTTGTTCTTTAATAAATGTTTAAAAATGTATAGTATACATTTTTAAGTTTGAAAAATGTATACTAAACACTGAATCAAGACAAGTTGTTTAAAAACTATTTTTTAGGTTGGTATCATTTTATAAGGAGTGGAATATAAAATTTTTCATGGATGAGCAAATATATGTTTATCACCTTAAATACATTTACTGAAGTTAAATAACTTTGAATCTGATAATATATTTAAATAATTATATATATCATCAATTTTAAATAACTTTTTTGAAAATTGAATTAGTGAATAATTTGATTAATTTTCCCTCTGTCCAACTACGATTAGTGTAACACCTTTGGTCTATCGAAGCTATATTGAAAAGCTCTTTGTAAATGTATTTTGGTAAATTTTACAAGAGGAAAAATTAAAGTTTAGATACATGTAAAAAGTGATGAAAATATAATTTCAATAATTTTCACTATGTAGTATAATAGTATAATACTATATACTATAATAGTATGTAGTATAATATGTAGTATAGTATATAATCCTCACTTATTCATAGATTAAATAAGTACTTTCAATTCATTTATAGACTGATATAATGAATAGGATTTGTGTTATTTTGATACTCTTGATGAGTCGTAACATTGATAAATATGACCAACAGTTTTTGGAAGATGAAATAAAGTACAAAATACATTATTGCAATACCTATCACTTATATATATTTTAATATCTGACTTGAATTACGCTTAATTGAAAGCCTCTATTATGATTAAAGTAATTTATATACTTAATTGTAATTACTTTGTGCTTAAATAACATTAAAAAAGGAAATTGTATGCATTCTCAATAGAAATGGATAAAGACAGAACAAAAAAATCTGGTGTGCAGTGTTTGCATCCCACAACTTTCACTTACTTTTATTTTAGCAGGAATAAGTATTTTTAGACAAGGAAAAGTTAAAGTAGAAATCTGGTGCGGAGTAAGCATCACACAACTTTCACATACCATCTTGCATATAATAAAAATAGGTCTTTTCATTACATTGGTTGGTTGTTTTGATGTCTAAGGGTCAAAACATCTATGTTATCAGCGCCCGATTAATAAAATAATACAATGATTAAAATATTTAGCTGGTAAGAATATTTTACAGAGGGAACTGAAAATAAAAATTATAGATGGTAAAACATATTTAAAACTATTAATTACCGTTTTTCCCACTGGTCTAATCTATTAAATTTATCCCTTTTTTACCTCTAACCATTTTCTTCAATGACTGTATATGACTGTATACTGTATAATTGCTTATTCAATAATTGAGTGCCACGAATTTTTTTTAGTCTGACAATAGTGCCAGTGATAAAGGAGGCCTCTATATTTACTTATATTTCATTGTGGGTATTTATATTTGTTTATATATTATGCATAAGTTACGTTTAGAAGACTACTTCAACCTTCTGCCATGCTCAAAGATGCGCTCGTGTTTCTTTGGCAGTTCTCAACCCCACATTACCAAGCTATTATCCTGAACTAGTGCTTCAAGTCTTGGTTCCTTATTATCATCGCTTATTTTTCCTTTAGTTAAAAATGAAATTTGTTCACTGTTTGTATTTAAAGATTTTTTATCATTAGTTACGGTTTATCATTAGCAATGGTTGTTTTTTTTAAGTAATCAAAATTAAAGGTACTTTAGAGGAAGAAAATTTTGAAAAATCAGCATTTAGGCCCTGTCAAGCTGCATTGATGAGAATGAAACCTATCTCAAATTAGAAACCACTTAATAATACATTGACCTAATGAGGTTAATCAAAATTGTTTGAGGTGTTTTTGAAAAAAAAATTTAAAATCATTTTAATTTTTGAACTAGACTGTTCACATGCATACAGACCATTTTGCAACATTTGGTTATTTGGACATAGGGGACCTCAAAAAGAGTATTTGCATTGAAAACTCAGATTAAAAAATGTTCACATTCATAATATTTTTCTTCAGTATATATTTCATTTATAGGTAAGTGAAAGTAAAACAGGTGTTACTTATTTTAATACCTAGCCTGAATTACATGTAATTGTAATTGCTCTTACTAAACACAATTACAGCACTAGCGGATCCAGGATTTGTTTTGGGGAGGAGAGGGACTTTAGCCCGAAAGCTTTTTTTTTTCATAAAAATGATGATAATTACTTTGGAAAAAAAGAAAGAAACTAACTATCTATATGAAATGGTGTTTAAGTGATTCCTTAAGTACTTTTAAATGTAATAACACAAACAATAATACTTTAAGAGATTATTTTTTTCCATAAAACATGGTTATATTTTACTATTTTGGGGGGGAGAGGGAGGGCTTGAGCCCGAAAGCACCTCCCGTCCACCTCACCGTAGATCCGCCCTTGAATTACAGTAATTGTAATTAAATATGAAGGATATATTTTTAGACTTAATTACTTTCCAACTATGATGAGCCATGGAAAAAGTCAATTTTTTATAATTAACTACTTTATAAATTACAGATTTAGTTTTAGGCTGTAAGTAAAGCAGTTATTATAATCAACTTTCAATTTTTTCAGTTATTGAGGAAAAGATTATTGAGTATTGATTTCGAAGGCGACACATCACATGAGAAAGACACGGAAGAAAGCGACAGCGACTTCGAATATGACGAATATGACTACCGTACTTTTTGTCACCGAAACATTAAGAAAGAGGTTTGAGATGAAAATCCATATCTTGTTTCTTAGAATCATTCAGAACATATGAACATTTTAATTCAGCAATTAAAATTGTAAATATTAAATAATCGTAGAACTAGAACTTAAGTGTATTAGGCCAATTAATATAATTTTTGGATTTGAACTTAAGTGTATTAGGTCAATTAATATAATTAATATAGTTTTTAATGAGTTAAATTTTAGAAATTTTACTTCAAAAATTTGTTTTTTATCTTTAAACAAATGAAGTTTCAGAATCGATCATTTTAATGTACATGAATGAATGCAATGAAGACTCAGAGCATGATTTTAATTATATTTAGACAATTGAGAACAAGCTGACTAGTAAGTTGTTTTTAAAAATTGTTTATTAATGAAAACCAACTTGCCAGTTATGTACATTGAGTTCTGACTAGTCAGACACTTCAGCTCAGTTAGCATGCTCTTTTAAGAAATAAAGACTTGATTGGTACCATGTACGACTAATTTAATCGCTTACTTACGTCTAGAGAGAATTGGGGTGATATTAATTGATTTTTAAATTTTTTTGTTTGAAGGTCTTTGTAAAAAGAAAAATATTTTTTAAGAAATAATACCATCTTGGTTTGACAAAAACACAAATCATATTGGATTAATTTATAATTTATCATGAAACGATCATTAAGTAAGTTGAAATTTATGTTGTTAACTGATAATCATTCTTAATAAATGGAATATAACAAAAATAAATTATAAAAATAAAATACTTTGACAGACTTAACTGACCATAGAAGGGCAATTTAAAACATTTATATTGTTTAGAATATGTTGTTCACCTATGTCAAGTCAGGATTAAATAATTAATTTTTTTTATTATTATTCTATTTAAATTTTGCAAACAGTGTTATATAAGCCTGAATTTATTAAATTATACAATGAATACATTGATAAATTAGTTTTGTTGATTAATGAAAGTTTATAGGTAACTATAATTTGAAATAAAATAAATTTAAAAGAAATAAGCACATGGAATATTACTGATAATGGGTAACAATGACATGACTTCCATTGGAATTCTATATAATCAATACCCACAATTTCCAATTTCGATTTAACCCAATTAATGTTCAGTTTTGTGTTCAAGCATGACATTTTTCTGTCTTTTGTGTGTGTGTGTGTGTATGTGTGTGTAATGATCCAAGTAATGCCTAAAAAGAGAAAATACCCTTTATTTTATATATAAATATATATGGGGCAGGGGTAGCCGTACTACGGGTCAAGGCGCTTGCAATAGGTAATCAAAGTCAAAAGTTAGTACCTGGATAGGTGACCGCCCGGTTTGGGTGGACCGTCCACCAGGGAAAGCCATGCTGCCCGAGTCTCTCCCCTTCCCCCGGGTATGTGAGGTCCGTCAGCCTAATGGAGGTAACTCACACTGACCGGGCCTAGGACTGGCGACCCTACTCTGTGTACTTAAATCGGGATGTGGTTTACGAGGATGTTAGTAGATCTCCTAACATCGGTTCGGTCTGTTTCGGGGAAAGAAATATAGGTCCTCGTGAGCCTGCTGACTCCGAGCAGCCATAATCCATGAATATAGACCAATTTGTCACTGTCCTTGAACCCGAGTTAGTCGGTGGGAAGGACACTGCTAGATTGGCCCCAAAGGGATTGGCTATAGAGCTACGGATAGCCTACCACTGAACCATGGTTCGTAGCAACCTGAGGTTGGGTGACCCCCTCCAGGCTGTCTGTGCTCCCACAAGCATCATAAGTCGGTAAGGAGACCACATCTCGTGACCAAAGATCTTCATGGTCTATAGTGCCAACCGAAAAAATAAATAAATAAAAACATATATATAGAAAAAAGTATGTTTGAAACTCAAAGATTGAAATCAACAATATTGTGCTCAACTTGGAATACTATAATTCAGTATATTAGAACCATTCTAATTGACTAGCGGAGAAGTTTTAAGTATGATCATGGAATATATACATTTTCAAATGAATTCTTTGAATTTATTCTAAATTATTGTATGTGTGTACTTGAAAGTAAATCAAAAAAATAATTGAATATTAGGTATATAGAGGAATAATTTTATGCTATGAATATAAATAAACATTTATTCCAACATGTTATGAATTATAGAAATGATTTATGTAAACTGTTTTAATTGTTATCAATTGGGGTTTAGTTTAGTTTTGTCTTTGATAATCATTGTTACTTACAGTAGCTAATAAATTATAATAACTCTTGTCTGTGATAATAAGTTATTGTGAAAAACTAAAAAATTGTTATCAGTATTATTTTTGAACGAAGTAGATCATGTGGCTTAAGTTCAAAAATGTTTTCTTTGCTATGATATTAATCCCTAGATGTAGTTTTTAAAAGTTATTGTAAAAATTGTGTCATCTTGTTATTTTACTATTCATATATTTATTTTTTATTTCTTACTAGCACTAATCCCACAAGAAGGGACTATGGTTTTTATTGTTTGTATGTTTATTGTCCCAGATCATTTTTTTATAATTTAATAAATAATGAATTGTGAAAAAAAAAATTTTTTCCATTGTGAGGTGTTTAAAAACAAAAACTAAAATTTGTATACAATCTCTTTACATATGGACTTATTTAAATTTCCCAACTATAAATTCAGATGTATTGATCTATCTGATTAACTTACTAATGTAAATATTTTATTTTTATGCTAGATTCAAATCCTCTTTTTGTGATATATATTTTCCTTTGTGACAGGAATATTTTTATTCTTTGTTATAATTTATCTTGATCTCAAGATATTTATTTGTTATTTATAATTAATGTGATGTTTGTAACAGTAGATTTTCTAGTATACATTTTGATATTGTATAGTTATATAAAATTCAAATAATAAATAAATAATTATGAATTATTTAATCGTTCACTATTATAAAATCTTGTGGCGAAGCCTGTTTAATACTGAATGTTTAACATAATAAGTTTTTTTTAAATTTTAATATAATAGAATATTCTACTGATGTTTAAATTATCTGTAACATGTAGTTGTAGACAGATTTTCATTTACATTTTAAGGCTAATTCTGGTATTTCTATGGTTTTATTCAGTCATTATATTGTTGAAATGAAATATTTATTTATAATGATATGTTTTAAGGAACAATAAATTAGAATAGTAGATAAAAACATTTATGGAAATCAAATTTATTTAAAATTAAATTCCTTCATTTAATTAATTATATCAATAAAATTAGGTAATAAATAAAATTTGGTTGAACACTCTAGTTTATTTGGGTAATAAATTATGGGTTGTATATAAATTATAATGTTACTTCAGAGCGCTAACATTATATTCACTTCAGTCTTTTTCTGAAAAAAAAAAAAAAAAAAAAAGGAACAGGAAAAACCTAAAAAACATTTTATTAGTTAATATTATTTACAATTTTCACTTAGGTTCAAGATTTTTTTTTTTTTTTGTTGTTCAAACAGGTGTAATGCCTCTTATCATTTCTTCTTTAGATAATATATAAGTTCATCCAGTTGCTGTGAAGATATAACTTTTTAAAAATTCAGTTCTAAAATTAAAAACAAATCATCATGGTGTTGTATATAAAAAAAATTAATAAAGCCCCAGAACCTCTGGATTATACAAAAATAGAGATGTGTTGTAAAAGCTGGTTGTATTATCAGTGACAAGTTGGTCCTATTCCTCAACCTTACTTGATACTTTTAGCAAACTTTGCTTCCAATAATTTCTATTCCCAATTTTGTTAGCATTATTTTATGTTTCGTTTATTAATATATCATATATTTGCCTTTTCACATATTTATTAATGTTAAGTTTATTCTACCTACATATTATTAGACTATACTTTTTACCTACATATTATTATTTTTATCCTCTACTAGTTCCTCATATCTATGTTATCTTGTCATTTCTTTGATCTGTTGCAAGGCCTGACCTTGGGCCAAAACGTAGGCAAAAGTAAAGAAACATTATCATTTTTTATTTTAACTTTGTTATTTGTGACTGAATACCCTAACCAAGATTCTTCAAAAATGATGAAATATGAGATGTTAAATTAAATTATCGAAAAAAAGGGAAGAACTCTAGTATTAGAACAATTTTAACAGTTACACTCAGCTTTCTAGAGTTTATACAAAGGCTCTTGAAGAGTAAAGACTGAAGTGGATAACAAAGCAGTGAAATGTAAACAATAAGGTAGCATTATTCAAAGGGTGAAAAAAGGGTCAACGCAACGGATTGGTCCTTTGGCTTCTTCAATATCTGCATGGTTAATTCTCTTTACATTTAAGAATATAAAAATACTGTTAAATACTTATATTTTTGAATGTCATACTTTAGTAAGTAAATTTATTTTTAGTTGTTCTTAAACTTAAAAAAAAAATGTTTTGGTGGCACTTTTTACAAAAGCCTAATGGAATACAATTAATATGAAAAATCAAATTATAATTTAATATTATAAATTATGCTTAGAAAACTCTCTAAACAAATAGTTTTAAATATTTTAACTGTCATTCTACTGGACAGATTCAGGATTCCAGTAGCTTACAATCGACCATTCTGCATAAAAACTTGATGTAAATCAGTTAAATAGTTTTCAGGATTTTCAATAGGATTTCAGGATGCCAATCATCTCTATTCTTCGTCTTATAATTCCAGTTTCTCACGCCCAGTGTTTTAAGGTTGCTCTTAACATCTTGCAACCATCTTTTCCTTGGCCTTCCTTTTCTTCTTGTGCCAAACATTGTAGAGAACAATGTCCTATAAAGCATCCTGCTGTTGTACATTCTAACCAGGTGTCCTAACCATTCTGTGTGCATAATTTTAAGAAAATGTTTCGCGTTGATGCATCCTTTAAGAGTTATCGGTGATAAAAACAAAAATATATCGAAAAAATCTGACTTTTTTAGCTGTAAAATGTTTTCCCTTGGGGGCCCGTGTTAGCAATTTTGTTTTTTACATGTCTGAACCCATATATACAAATTGAAAAAATAAC